TCGGGATAGGTCGATGGAATAGCACGAAGGCTATGAAGTAACCGAAGTATATCATTGACTTCAGGATCAAATACACTTTCACATTAAATCTCAATGCTAGTTCGAGATTTTCATTCTCCATTTTCTTTATAACAACCTCAAAGCCTAATGAAGGAGACTATTCAATTCCAGCTGGTATGTAGTAAAGCGGTTTTCGAATAAAACATTCTTCTCCTTAAATTTACACAAGAGAGCCAGAGGGAATCGCAGGTCAATTTCAGATCGTGGCCTGATACTTGAAGCAATTAGTGCCACTTTACATCATATAACCTACCATTTTCATCATTTTCCAAAAAATTCCATAAAATCAAAATTAGTCAAATCGCCAAACCACAAAACAATCAGTATTTTTACCAACGAAAGACCGGCAAGTGCTAAAAAAAGGTTTTTAACCTGCCTTTCTTCTGAAGATTTAGAGGGCGACGACTAACTAACTAACTAACTTCCTATTCAACTTCGTAGAAGGTTAAGCCTCATAGCTATTGTTGCCAACATATCAGGCACGCCTTCCTCTCCTTCACTGCCTTGCCTGATTGGGTGAGCACGCGCTGGTTGTACTTTAAATGCCCCATTATTCACCCCGAATCCAAAGGTTGATAGACGATCAAGTAACTTAGGCCAACCACCAGGCTTGTGCCCACCCGACGTGCTGACTCAGCCACATTAATCGATAAAGACGTGAGTTTCGGTGTATTGGCTTATTGATTATTGGGTCCGGGGATCGATGGAATCTAGGCCACTCGATCACAGAACTCTGGACGATAGAAAAAGAACAGTCGTGGGCGGACTCTGAGATGGATGCCACGCTTGGTTGGGTGAGTAAATGACCTTTCTTTGGAATGGCCCTTGTTATGCTTAAATTTCCTCCCTTTTTTAAATAACTTAGACAAGAGTTTAATGTGGCTGAAGTTTTTTGAAGCCTTTTATAAATTGTATGGATAGCTGACCTCTTTCCTCATAAGGATTCGAAGTGTCTGAGTAGTACAGTCAGTAACTTTGTTTACATTAAGGGAAAACCACTTTAATCTGCCGCATCTCAAGACACCTAACAAGAGTAGACAAGTGAAGTAAAAGATCGAGAAGATAAAACAGTGCACATCTTTACAGTGAATGAAAATCTCAAAAGGGATGAATGAAAAAAGTTCTTCGAGCGGCAGATGTTGTTTTTGTTTTACTAGTTCGTTTATCTCAATAGTTGAAAATAAAAATGAGGTATTTAGTGGGAGATTCAAGAGGATGGTTTTTTAGCTGACTCAATTATCAGAGACAGAAGGTCTTCTGGCTTACATAGTGCGTAAAGCAGCCCACTTTTCCTGGGGTTCCCAAAGAGTACATAACAGCTAGGATCAGTATAGTCACCAAAACCATTGTATGTAACTTGTGTAGCAGCCCTCAGTTGTGATAACTCGTAAAACTGTGAACCACTTATTACCAATGTACGAAACAGCCGAAAAATACAAACTGAGTGTTTAAAATATACAGACTTAAAATTATGTTACCTTGTGTCTTCTGTCTAAGTTTTTTTCTCTGCTCTACCCGTGACCGATCTTCTGCCATCAAATGGACAGCATACACCACACCTGTTCGTCCCAATGCTACCCGACCATCCAACTGGGAGCTATTCACCCAAAAGAGGTGTGTAGGAGGCATCGCTTGCTAGCAAAATTTCCACATTGTCGATACAAACCCCGCGATCACTCGTCTAAGGGACTTTACAGGTCGTTTAGAGCTCGTTTTGTTTCATCTATTAATTGTCCTGATGTAGGACACGACATTAAGGTGGTAGGCAAGTGTGCAAGTGACTGCAATCATCCCTCAGTTGAGAGACTTCACATCATCGCCCACCCGGAGCTGAAGCTTCACTTCCGTGACATCAGGCAAAAAAACTAGGATAATCTTCCTTTTCATCATCACCACCAGTTTGGCATCCTCACTCTCTCTTGAAGTTAAAATAGAGCATATCTATGTGGAAGAAGACTTATTTTTACCACCCAGGAGGCCCGGGGTCGTAGGCATAACCGGAAGGTGATGCCACCATGATGTGAATACAGATTGCGGAGGCGCCATTCTCGATAGGTTTATTTGCGAGCAAAATAAGAGGCTATTTTTCTCACACAGTCAAATGTCAAGCCAACTAAAGGAAGAAGAGTGAATAAAAAAAGATTTCTTGTGCTTAATTTTTGTGGATTTAAGCAACTTCAAACACTAATTCATCATGTAGCTTCGTTGCCTCGACAACTGTCACTGAGCCCCTTGTCACCTGACAACTTTATTCATATGCATTCATTACACTTTAAGGTACATTTGATTATTTTTTAGCTCATAAAGTACGAATGACTTGAATTCAATTAAAGTAATTGTGAACACTTCTTATGGAACGCCCCTACAATTTATCGCCTTTCTCTACTGGCTAGGTGGTACCAGCAGATGTAATGGTTCGTCAGATCGACTTTTCCCTTTATGTATGAAACGAAGGAAGTTAGGAAGCATTCCTCCTCAGTCTTTTTTGTTCAAATGAATGCTTTATTGTGTAGATTGGCTTTTCCCATTTATCAGGCTTCTTATAGTTGCCGCAAAAATGCGCCTTAATGGTTTGTCAGAGGTTAATTTTATGTTGAATTTTCGCCACAACAAAATCAACTGAGGCGGATTTGCCAGAAAGCCTTAACAATTCCACATAAGAAGCTAGGGGAATTTTGACTAAAACACGGTCGAGTTTGAAAATCACTTAATGATGAGTTTTCGCTTGACACCTCTTTAAAATGCGTAACATTACGGCGTTCTTTTTAAGTCGTTCCTATCACTAGTCTTTCAGTGATGTTACCCTTCTTTCAGGAAGGTGGATGAATACAGTGAAGGCATTTGACGCTTGTTTTAGTGTACATTCGACCAGGATGTGCTTTTTTCTTGCCGACATAGCCGATGGTCCGAGTCCGTGTCCACTCTGCCTGTTTGTAAGTCTTTTGTAAAACTTCCTTCACACTGTTGTGACTTCAGGCAAGACTCAGGGCAGTAAAGTGGAGCTACAGTGTCAGTTTTTCCAGGACTATAAAATTGTGGTTTTTTATTGGGATATAAGCTTTCCATATTGTTTTAATTGAAGGTGAAAATGTATTTGTGTTGCTTGACTATTAAAAGAGAAGAATTTTAAGCAGATTTCAGCACTGACTGCCAAAAGATCTTGCTAGAACTCGTCGAGGACACTTGCAGAATCAATGACCAAGGGTATTTATAGGCACTATTACGCATAAATAGACGTCAGTCTATCAACACAGTTACTCTTTGCAGCGGTCTCCGCTATTTACTCCCTATTTTTAACTTTTACACCATAAAAAGAGGGAATGACTAAACCCAATGGTCATCAGGTCTGTCTGCTTGCCACACGAGACGAGCTTATTTCATCGCAAAAGCCTAAACCAAGGCTTGGGGTGACAAAATATGAAAGAGAATTCTCTTCTCACTCTTGATTTAAATCAGTCATGCTCAACTGATCCATTAGCGCTTACATCAACTGGGAGGAGAAGGTCTTGGTGGAAGCTAACCAGGTCGGCTCCATGCACATGCGACAAGCTTCCAGGAATACCAACCTTCCCCTAAACAAAAGGTCCTTTTACTAGTCAGTTCTAGCTTCTAAGGCATTACTTCGTTTCTAGAAGGTTATGCATATATACTCACTCTACCCTCCTGAAGGCTAAATAAATACAATAGGCTTGTCCATTTGGAGACCTCCCTACTCGATTTAGGACTGAAGGAAGTAAGGAAGGGTGGAAGGGGGAGGAAGAGGAATTACTACCACATTCACCTCCCATCGTTTCCGTTCAAATTTGAAGACAGTGTAATTTCAAACAATTAACTAGGTTAATTTTCGGTCCAGAAGTTGCGCTTTTACCTTATTTTTTTCCAAATTTCCCTTATCATTGAACAAGCGCGACTTTTGACCTACTCCCAGATTGGTGGTCTAAGCCTAAAAAAGGCGAAAAATTGAAGAAAGCAGCATTTCGTCTAATTTATTTGAATGTAGTTACTTTTCCTGAGTACTCATTTAAAAAATACACTGCGTAAACATTTTCTCCAGCTTTTATTTTTAGCTGATAAAAGACCAAAAACAAATAACCAATCATTTTTGTAGCATATTTCACAGCTAAAGCAGTGTCCGAAGTTTTGTCCAATCACTGATTTGATGCCATTTGTCAAGAGGAGAAGTGGAGCTGTAGCGATGTCACGTTACATTGTCATCTTCAGTAAACGTGTCGTCAATACACCCTCTACTCCCACATCTTGGCTGGGAGGACGTTCTTTTTCATCTTGCACAGCAGAGGGCTAGATTGTAAAATCGGGGCTAAAGGCCCACTGACTGCATTATAAGGCGTGTGAGTTTTGATCAAATAGCCTTGCAGATGAGAGGGTAAGTCCTGCCCATATTATACGGTCATATGAGGCCCCTCTTCTGTGTTGTTAATCACAATGCATCCTACACCTCAGCTATCGCTACTTTAGGGGTCGAGAAATTCCATTTATCCATTTTTAATCAATGCGAGAAGACTGTGTCACATCTCGCAGAGATTTTGGTGCATCCAGAGGCATGCGTTGGCTCAGTGCTGCTCCAGTCTGGTTGAGTATTAACAGCGGGGACATGCCAAATGCCAATCATCCTACTCGTACCAACATTTGTCTGTCAAATAAAGCCATTTTGCGGGTTCTGATTTTGGGCAGTCCATTAAGAGAGAGTTCGTAACGAAATGAGCTGCATGTTTGCCAAAAGAAGAAAAAAAGCACAACCTTATTCAAGTCAATATAAAAATGGAACAAAAATATCTTTCTCCTTTTTTCTTCCATTCATTAGACCGAAAGTTAGCTACACTCACCTTGTTTAGTAAGGTAATTGCTTCTTCCATGAGAGAGGGAGGAGATTTGGAGGCAACTTATCACAAAAAAACGATTCCTCAATGTTGGCGGTGGTGTAGAGCACAAAGAAGTGATCTGTGTATGCCACAACCAAATCTTATTTATTTTGTAGAGGATGCGTTGCATGAACCAAGGAGTAAAAGAACAAACCGATGATTGCATCAGATCTGACGCCATTTTTATGCAGTTGTGTCGCCACCTTTGAGAGAGTTCTCATGAAAAATTAACCTCCTTTTCTCATATCACTAATGCCTTGCTGCCACATTCAATGTCTTTCGCTAATTTCATACAAAAACCAGGCCATCATTTCTTTTGCTGGATTTCGAAAAAAAAGGAAATTCGTTATACCGAACGTAGTCATTGTAGCAGGAGAGGAAAGGGACCGCTGACACAGTAGAAGGGCTGAGAGGCTACTGACATATCGCAGAAGTCATGCCGCCGAGGGGAAGTACAATCGACGGAGGCTTAAGTGTCCTCATGATCAAACGCAGAGTTAAACAAACTGTCGGAGTACTCAGCGCTACGCTCGACTAACCCTTTGTGTCAGCCATCACAACGTAGTCTCCGCTGCTCTGTTTGAGAACTGCATTGTGGGGAAAAGGAATTCTCCGTCCCAATACTGGCACTGATGGGATGAGGCTCAGCAGTAGGGCCATTTCGTATCCCCATTGTTAATCTAAGAGAATGGTCATTTAATACAGGAGAGGGTGGGATTTAGTATCGTGGGGATAATGCTTCCCCTTAACACTTTGTTCTCACTTCAGTGATATTCAACAGTAAAAAGGTAGAAGAGATATTGTGAGCAGGCACCGGAGACAGTTCCAAAACCAACATTTCCTGATGGTTCACTGCTACGGCCAGCGTCGAAGAACACTAAACTGGGGTGGTTGTCAAGAGCACACGTTTTTTTCAACCCTTCTATAAGGAATCTTTACAGATTAAGGAACGTAAATCAGGATAGTTGCCCTTTAAGATAGGAGTAGCCTTCTGATACCATCAGTGTAGCACCCCGTATTCTTCTTAAAGCCGCAGTAGCATAGAAGAAAAAACTGCTGCCGTGCAGAAGGGCCGAGGGCTACTGATGTGGTCTGGGAGCCACTCGTCCCATCGGAAGTACAATTTCCGGAAATACAAGTACTCGCGTAATCGGACCCAGAGTTGCACAACTTAGCAAAACATTGCATTACTGACAGAAGTGTGGAAAGAATTTTTATCCCACATATCTATCTTTCGTATATAGTTTGTTAAGATTGAAGCACATTCCCGATAATTCCATTGCTAAGCAAATTAAAGTTCTAAGTCTTTTTCGAGCATTAGTACCTAAGACAAGCGATACCATATCGCGTCTGGTTAAAATTGGTCAGGTTTTTTCTTCCAGGATGCCAAAAAGTCTTTTTGTATTTGTAGGTGACTAGTCAAAAGTGGCAGTCAGAGCGGAGGTGACGGCTCCGCGGTTGGTGAATCAAGTCAAACTCGTTTTTAA